GATGTGAGAGATCTGATATTTAATAGTCCACATTTGATTGTCCTATTACTTTCTACTATAAGAGGAGTCATCTTAATTTTAATTAGGTTCTTATGAATAACTCCTCTGGAGTTGATTCTTGATTTATATAATTTAGGTGGGCGGGGGGCAGACACAGTCTCTATGGGGTACTGGGAGTGTTGGGTGGGTAGCAGCTGCAAGGAGACAGCAGAGAGGCGTGTAAGACTGCGACCCTGCATCCTGGACTCAACTCTGGGTTGTCATAATTTAGGTTGTAAAACAAACTCGTGTAGATTTCTAGATAAGAGAGCCGTACCACCCAAAGTGGGATGGATGCCATCTCTACTAATCAGACCAGGTTTTCTCCAAAATGTTTTCCAGTTATCTATGAAGCCCACGTTATTTTCTGGGCACCACCTAGACAACCAGCGGTTGAATGACAACATGCGGCTAAACATGTCATCACTGGTCACATTGGGTAGGGGTCCAGAGAAAACTACGGAGTCTTTGTGTTTGTAACATATTGGCCAATATTCTATTACCTAATTATCTTCAACTTAAAACATATACATGTGGAACATACAGTATATCTATGTCCAGAATAGATGCTTACCTTTTGGTAGTGCATTAAAAAAAAGACTGATGATACATTTTCCAATGCTGACATGATAATTAAAGCTAATGAGTTTTTAAAACTAGACAGCACTCATAGAAAACAAATCTCCACCAAAGCAGTTCATAATGCCATTTTAAAAAATTCGTAGATCGGGATGACGATCTGGATTATCACCAAAATGTAATGGATTGTTCTGGGGGCCGTACCCTACCGCTCATAAAAATACCATCAAAATCCATTCATAACCTTTTGAGTTATGCTGCAAACAAACCAGCAATTGCAGTTAAAAAATATTATTTCCTTGGCAGAGGTAATAATCTTACACTTGATCAGATACAGTGCTCATACAGTATTAATTTTTCTCACACACACAAACACACGCAGCTTATTCATGTTTTTTCTTTGAGTAATGTAACAACACACACATGTCGTGGGGGTCTTTAGCACTAACATCTAGGATGTATGAGTCTCTAGCTTATACAGTTCATCCTAAAACCAAATTACCTTACCATGCCCCACAGTATACACTAGCATACTGACATACGTGTACCTCCGTATATAGACATACACTTACACACATATTTCTGTTGCTTTGTGTCAGAGCTGCACACTGAGGTTTTTCTCTAAAATAGACAATCATTAAACCAACACTAGGACCTTGCTGGTTGTATTAGCATGCGCTAACAGAATATCAGCTTAGTCTTTGCAAACTTAGAGCAGACACCTGCAACATACTGATATGCTTAAATGAACACAAATGTCTTACCTCAGTTCTGACTTTAAATTTGATCACTTGATGATTAAATTCAGTTTTAGATTTCTTGTTTACTGTTGTTGGCCTTTAATTGCTGGTAAAAAAAAAAAAAAGCTGACAGTCTGAAGATTATTTTTTCCCCTTGTCTTAATGTTGTATCTTTTCACATAATGTCATTAACTTTCAAGAAATCATAGATTCGTCAGGCTAATTGCACCCCAGAATTGAATGTCTTCACTGTATTGTCCATATGTTACTACTTTACATAAAACTGTTTTGTGTGGAGCAGCAGTGTTTTAATTAAGTGTGTACGTTAGTATGCAAGTAAGCGAGGCTGTGTGCGCCTGTCTACACTGTTCCTGTATGTGTTTGCCGTTCCTGTCTGAGTACAGAGTGTATACATCGATGTAATGTCACTTCCCGTTAGACGCAGCATCCCTCTCTGGCAGCAGCAACAGATGGATGTCATTGTAACAACCATCGTTCATCATCACCATGGTGACAGGTCCACAAACACACACACATACACACAGTGTCTTTGCATTGCTCTTTAACACAACCTCAGTGGCATGCTAGATTAACTTCTCTGTCTGATGGAGTACACACACACACACACACGCACACAGAGTACACAACCACACACCTGTATGCAGACATATTATGTGCAGTTTTCACACAGTAATATAGCACTTGGATTTAAGGACACAATGGAATAGAGAAGATAACACCGACTGTTTGAGAGACAGTGACTACCTGAGCCACTGGCATTTAACAGGGTAGTCATATATTGTATGTACATACTGCGATACAGAGTCCAGGTTTCACTGCTCACACTGTATGTTCACCCAGCAGGGCACAATGCAAATGCAGGCACTGGACATTAAAAAGAACCCCCAAGCAGTTGTGTTAATTGACAGCTCAGATAATGTTGAGTTCCACCAAAAAAGCACCCTTAAAGAGCATGCGTTGCCTATTTCAACCTCACCTCATGCCATAAGAGCAAAATTTACGCATCTCTACAAGTGCAGCCCCCCTGCCAGTGGCTACTGATCACTTCCACAGGTGCAACCCTTGTTTTTGCTCAAGGGCACCCTGACAGCAGCTGTTGCAGATAATGAGAACATTTCTCATTCACTCTCCCACATCCAGCTTTTTCCATACTAGTCTAGGGATTTCAATGGAATCTTGTTATCACAGATATCTATAGTACCTCCTAACCTCCATGTAAGTGGCAGCATCTCTTTAGAAAACTACAAGACTCTAGGATTAAGTAATGAAATGAGGTTTTCCCCTTCACCAGTTCCTATTATAGAAGGAGATCAAGAAAAGATCTTGTTCTCTTACTGTTGTGCCTTTTTAAAATCAGTTTTATTCTCTGTCTCCTCTTACTATTCTGTCTCCTTTTGTTTTTATGTTGGTTTTTGAATTAACTTGTACAGTACTGCATGTGACGTGTTTTCACATCTTTATGCTTTTTTAGTGTGCGGCCTATGTTTGGGTGAGTCAGTGTGTGAGCATGTGTTGGTACATGAGTCTGCTGTGTGTGGTTTGTAGGTGTGTATGTAGGTACAGTATGTGTACTGTTGAACTGGATACATTCTTCTGGGAGCTCATTGGGGTTGAAAAATTCTTAGCTGTGATTACATCTGTCTTACAGTTTCACATACACACACGCAGTTGAACATGGCTGAATAGGTCGTGATGGTGAGCGTGATGAAGCCATGGCAGGAGACCTAATGGTGTTGAAGAGCAATGATGAGAGGATTGCGCTCACCTAAGGTGCTCCAGGCAGAGAGAGAGAGAGAGAGATTGTGCAGTGACAGACTCATAAGTGGTAGCATGAGTGAGGGAGTGAAGACAGATTAGTATGAGTTTTCCTTCACTGGAGAAAAGTGCATGGAGTGAGGGAAAGGGGGAGCTTTGAGAGATATGTGGAAAAGCAAAGAAAAGAGAAAAGAGGATTTGAAGATTCTGGAGAGCCCTTCGGCAGGGACAGTGAGGGAGAATCGGGCGAAAACAAGAATGAGAGGATGATAGACAGACAGGGCCTGTGATTACAGGATTGTGTGGATCACAAGAGCCTTGGGTGAGCAGAATGAGTAAGAGATGAGTAGAAACTGAGCATGGGGATGCAAAAGAGATACACAGATGGAGTGAACAGAGAGTAAAACAGCAATGAGAGGTGCAGTGATGAAAGGATGGGGCCTCACTGAATACAGAGAATGGCAAAGAAAGTCATAGTGGTAGTTTGCCGAGGGTAAGGAGTAGTCGCCACCCTTTAGTTCAACCCTAATACTTTTATTTCTCTTTCCTCTCTTCAACTTTGTTGTTTTTTGGCCACATCTTCTCTTTTGCACTGTTTCATTCACTTACAGGTGTGGACAAATTGGGTGGCACCCTTTCAGCTCATTAAAACAGCGCTTCAGTCCTCTTGAAAAGTGATTGCTGCCTCATGTACACCACCTGTCAAAAGTTCCTTGATGTTCCTGTGACTACGGTTGCACATATTACTAAGAGGTTTAAGGTTCATGGGACGGTAGCCAACCTCCCTGGTCGTGATTGTAAAAGGGAAAATTTACCTCAGATCGAACAGTGTGAATGGTAGACTGAGCCAAGGAAAACCTCCAAAGAGATACAAGATGAACTCCAAGGTACATGAGTGTCTGGTTGTACCATCCATTACTTTTTGATTAACAGTAGAGGACTAAAAAACAATCTGTTCGGAATTTGCTGAAATGTATATTGACAAGCCACAGTGCTTCTAAGAGACGGTCCTTTGCACAGATGAGGAGCTTTTTGGCAAGTCACATCAGCTCTATGTTTACAAATGAAAACAGGAGGATGGAGGAGGCATGGCAAATAATGCATATTCCCTAAAGCTGCAGTAACATATACATATATTCCACCCTCTTAGTGTGACATGGCCTAATCAGTGAGCCAATTAGTGTTCTTTGTAACAGCGTTGGCCTCATGTAACTGATTGCATTAACAACTGCCAAACGTCAAACAGCCATGTCTCATGCTTGTGCATCTC